CTCAAAATTATTTCATATTTAAATTCAATCACCCATCTTGCTGGATTAAAGTACTAAATATATCACTAATTCAAAGCACCAAAAATGAATTAAATAATTCACTCTTAGGTAGACTTGAATAAATGAACATTTATCCAACTTCATCTACACCTAAATTCCATTGAATTTAAAGAGAAGTTGGATATTTAAAAATGCAATCCAAAGTAACAATCAAAAGAAGTGAATAGAAAAAGAGAAAGGAATCAAAACAGCTCCAAAACAAGACAAAAAACACATTCTCTCTTAGTGCAAATCGAAATAGCTCCAAAACAAGACAAACCATTTACAAGCTCATATCAATGAGAAACTCCTCCAATACCCTACAAACAAATTAGGGAAATACATTCCACATAGGGGTAAGCTTTCCATGTACTTTCATAATCTCCGGTGGATCTTTCTCCTACATCAGCAATCTTCAAGTTCAAATCGAGTATCGGGAAATCATGATAGCATAACATTTAACCATCATGTGACAAGAAACCTTGTTGCATATGAAAACCTATACGCTTTAATCATCCACGACCCATCATAGGGGCATCAATCAAAAGCACATGAGTCTACGTAAATCATTATCATGCATTCATTAGGTTACTTTGATCCAGAATCAAGCTATACTTATCATCCCATCCATCTAATAACTTCCGACAGTATAGATCTAACAAAGAGCCCAATTCTCATTAGCACATCAAAATTTTAACATCCATTGACGCATATGCAAGTCATCCATTCCATGCATTGGTCAGACATTTTACGCATTAACGCCTACATCTGCATGTATACATGACATATCATAGACCGAGACTTGGGACTCTGTAAAAATGTAGAGTCAATTTCTAGGGAGTCACTATTATAATCTCTAACATCTCTCCAACTATCCCTTTCAGGGAGTCTATGGTACAAGCGTTCTTCGTCAAACTAAGGCATGAGTAACCTTACACAACCTTATTTCTTTGTCCATACATAAGAAGCCTTATGTAAAAGTCGTGAGCAGCCTCCTATTTTCCAAATCACCGGATTAATGTCTCTAGGTAACCTTACCAATGTTAGAAACCTTGCTATCCGTTTCACCTTTCCAAGCCACCAAGATGAAATTATTCCAGTAGTCCTACTAACGTTGGTGTAAGTCCCAATTCCCACCTGACACATATTTTCAAAAGCCCATCCCCTAATTGGCATGGCTTCTCAGAAAAAATAGTTCTTGGCTGATAACCTGCCTTAAGCATTGGTTCCGCAATTTAAATAACAGTGGCATTGCATTTATCAACCATTGTATCATTTCAATTCATAATATTATCATGTTAAGCATACATACCATACATCATACATACATCAAACATAATCATATCAAACGTGCATACATGCATTACATTCAAATCATATATGCCCATGAAAAACTGCGGAAAAATAACAAGGCATGACTACCATCTAAGACGAACTCAAATTTAAATCCAAGCTCAACATTATCCATTCATCTTTCTATAGCTACCTCGGTTGAGAATGGATACAACCATCAAAGGTACCGCTATCAAAATGTCACTAGGTAGCTTACCTATGATTCATATCTAAGGCCTAATCATCACTAGCCTCCGGGAATTACACTTGCGATTATCAAATTCAAACTTTTCAAGTTCGAACATCTCAAAACATTCAAATTCATTTGGTTATCATGTTAATCAAGCCTCAGTTGAGAACATACACAACCGACTTCATTAGTGAATTTGGGGTTCATTTCTTCATGATGATAGTCTTGGTTGGGGACAAACACAATCGACTTCATTAGTTAATTTGGGGTTTATTTCTTCATGATGATAGTCTTGGGTGAGGACAGACACAACCGACATCATCATTGAATTTCAGGGTTCATTTCTTCATGTTGATAGCCTTGGTTAGGAAGAGACACAACCAAAATCATCAGTGAAACTTCAGTTTCAATCTTCAAACCTAGCATTTTTATGCTAAACATTTACCTTGGTTGAGAACAGACGCAACTGGTAAAAATCTGATCTCATCTTTGATCTAGTTATCTAAGATTGATCATCAAAAAATAGCTTTTTTTGCGATAACCCATTGTGTCAGTCTCCATGCATCGATGTGGGAAATCTGCGATATAACTCATTACATCAGTCTCCATGCAGCAATGTTATTATCAAGCTTTTTTCTGTGATATAACCCATTGCGTCGGTCTCCATGCATCGATGTGTGAAATTCGAATATAACTCATTGCCTCAGTCTCCATGCAGCGATGTAGTTATCTAGCTTTTTTCAATTATCTATCCCCTAGGTTGCGATAAATATGCGAATAAATTTGCGTAATCCATTGCATCAGCCTCCATGCAGTAATGTATTATCAAGTTGTGTTTTATTTATCCCCTAGGTTATAATAAATACACAAGTTCCTCCTCTACGATATAACCCATTGCGTCAGTCTCCATGCAGCAATGTGTAAAATTCGCGATATAACTCATTGCATTAGGATCCATGGAGCAATGTGTGAAATCTGCGATATAACCCATTGCGTCAGTCTCCATGCACCAATGTGGGAAATCTGCGATATAACTCATCATGTCAGTCTCTATGCAACGATTTTGTTATCAAGCTTTTTCAATCATCTACCCCCTAGGTTGTGGTAGATGTGCGAATGGCTGGTTCATATTATTCATTCCCTAGGTTGCAATGAATACCTGAATTCATCCTCAGATTTTTTACTCCCTAGGTTGTAGTAAACATGACGAAGTCGGCAATATAACTCATTGTGTCAGTCTCCAAGCAGCAATGTTGTTAGGAATCTTTTCAAATATCTATCCCCTAGGTTGTGGTAGATATGCGAATAAATCTGCGTAATCCATTGCATCAATCTCCAGGCAGCAATGTGTTATCAAACATTATTTTATTCATCCCCTATGTTATGATGAATAGACAAAATTAAATCAAATCAAAACTTACTATATTAGTCTCCAAACATTAGTAAGTCAACTTTTTTAAAACTTGTATTTTTGTAAATATGCAAAAGAATCTAAAATCTCTTAGATAATGACGAGTTATTTGCGGTGTCGTGTCTAAGTTCTAATAAAAAATTTGGTTCATACACTGGTAAGATGATGTATCATCATCTATAAATACTCTTCATACCCATGGAAACATTGTACAACGTATCCGTATAATCTTTCAACTTGCGTTGTTTACCTTCTAGGTCATGGTAAATACGCAAAAAACTACGATCTCTTTTCTAGGTATTGGCAAGTTATCTGCGTCATCATACCTAGGTCAAACTTACTCTTCAATCATATCTCTCTATTCAAACTCTGGTAGGATGATACATCACCATCTTTGCCTATTTCTTTATCCAAACTCTGGTAGGATGATACATCATTATCCTTGCCTATTTCTTTGAGCTTTGAGGTATGCTATATCAGCGTATCCTTGTTTAATAAATCTTGGGTCCAAATTTTGCGATCTTCCATTATTTAATAACCCTCCGATACAAATATGTGAAACTTGCACATTCTCGTACCATTCAATCGAAAGGTAATTAAATATGGGCAGCTGTCATACCCTAAATTTGTGCGCCTTTAGTGCTACCGTCAAACTTATTTTCAAACATGGGTTTTAAAATTCCTTTGGTTTAATTACATTAATATTTTTGGGTTTTATAAATATTCGTTCTCAATTCCAATTAAAAATATAATAATCTATTTCAAATTATTTGTATTTTAAATAAAAAATACTTGCTCTTTATGTATTTTTAGTTGGCTCTTTATTTTGAATAAGTAACATAGCATAGTTGATAATGAATGAAGCTTGCAAATATGAGGTTGCAGGTTCAAATCTCTTATGGTGCATTTTTTAACATTTTTTCCATTTCTTTTTGTTACTAATTTTCTTTCCTTTTATGGAAATCGAGCTTGGGATTTTCATACATTTTGGATAACTTAGTCTCTAAGTTTTTCTAACCTAACTCAAGTCTATAAATAGGACTCTTATTTGTCCTAATCTTTCATCCGCAATTTTATAATCTCTCACAATTTCACTCATTCACACACACTTCATTCTTTCTTTTTGCAAATTTCTTCTTCTTTTAAAATTTTCTTTTTAATACTGTTGGGGATATTTTTGTTTTGACCAATGATTTCATATGAGGCCTCCCTCTAATTTTCAATTCAATTTTTTAATTGGTTTGTTATTTTAACCATATGATGATGATCTGATGGTCTAGTTGCTTTCAAAAATTATTTCTTGACAAAACTAGCTATTCTCTCCATTCACAATTGCATACAGACCACACACATTCAGTACACACCGTCCAAATTTGAACACAGTTATGGAGAATTTATGCTTTTTGTTTTGGCTCACCTTACTTATAAACATCATAATAGATTCATGTAAATATATGAGTTATCACTACTTTTTTTTGTTTACGTTAACATTTTCCTAACTTATATGTGATTACAACTCATGATGTTTATTATTAGTATTATCTTGGTAAATATACAGGATATCCCTAATTTAGTTCTTAGAAAAAATTAACCAATTAGTTCTTGAAATCAATTTGTGTTGCAAAACTTATATACAACATCATCAGTGCCTCAATTCATATATCATTATTACTCTAATATTTGATGTATTGTATCTACTGCCAACTAACCAATTGCAGAGTTTATGAATTTTATCTCTAATGGGCTTTGATTTCGACTTTATCCAATCACTACCAACAAAAAGAAAAAAACAAACGATATCATAAATAAAAGAAATAGGAAGAGGAAGCAACTCGGCCACAAACCCGTCGGTTTTAATCAACAACCTGGAAAACAACACTATAACAAAAAATCACAAGCAGAATAGAGCCCTCCAACAATGCAGCCAACCCACCTTCACTCTGCCTTCATCGACGCCACCACAAGTCCCGACGAATCTGGAGTCCAACGGTGAGAACTGCACACGTAACTCATTCGGTGTAAACAACGATGAGAGCCCTCCATTTTGCACAAGACAACAACGTCGCCGGAGTTCCACCATCGAAACAGCCACGATCCGACCGTCTCCCCTTCAAATCTGGAGACAACCGTAGCCGCTTCTGTGCAATCATCATGATTCCGCTCAGATTCATAAAGTCATTCTTCGTTAGCAACCTCTGGTTTTCTTTCCATTATGCTTTTTATTCATGTAGTTTGATTAAGACATGTTTTATTAAATGAGTTTGTGTATGAGATTTATGGGTGTTGGTTTTGTTTGGAAAGAAATTGAAAAGATGGATTGTGAAGGTAGAAGAAGGAATATCGTGAGGGCGGAAAAGATGATTTGGGATCAGTAATTTTTCTCTCTATTTTATTGTTACTTATATTATTACTATTATTATTAGTTTTTAGGATTAACTTTAACAAATATTGAAATGGGCCTTAGGCCATATATTGATCTAATAGCGACACCCCTTGTTAATTTAGCACCAATTTTAATTTATTTATTTATTTATTTATTTATTTCTCTAAAAAATATATATCATTATACAAATACAAAAACTATTTAATTTCGACATATTACAAGTAGCCGAATTTCACATCCTCGAGTAATTAGTGGTAGACTTAGCGTTTACCAATTAGTTATTCAAAATATAGAATATATTTTATTGGATTATTTAGTTAAATCTATTTTCTAATTAATTTAAACCTTTTTCTTAATTAAGTTAATTCAATATTTTACAAAGATATTAAAAACTATGCAATTCACCAGTGGACGACACGTGGCCAATATCTGGCCACATGATGAGGAAAAATTTATCAGATTCCCTCTGCATCCTCCATGACGAGCAACACATGGTCAATATCTGGCCAAGTGATAAGGTGACTATATCAGACTCCCTCACTATATGCCCTACCATACACATCATCAATTAAAAATTCAAAACAACTAACCAACGACCAAACCATTTTTTTACTAACTTAATCAAAACCCCAAGATATTTTTGAAAAAGGATTAAGGAGAATTATTTTCAAATCAACTGAAAACTACGTCTACGCTCACACAATTTTCAATCCAGACAAGGTTCAAGGATAATTCGAGATCAATTCTACATAATCCTATAAAAACAAACCAACCATAAACTACGAATTAAGACTTTGATTCCTCATGAGAGGATAGATAGGCATACAACTAAAATTATGGCGAGTTACCCTATTAAAAATTAAAACCCTACTCCCTAAAGATTACGCTTCTAAACCTAGTATCCTTGTGAGCAAGATAGATGAGGGGTGCCTAACACCTTCCCTTCGTCTAGAACCGAGTCAACAATATTGAATCTCTAAACTTTTTAGGGTTATTCCTTTATAATCCCTTCCTTAGGATAAAAATTAAGGATGGCGACTTTGTATTAAAAACCAGTTGCAACAGCGGGAGTGGGACAAAATTGAAATTTGCTGATTACACCATCAAGCAGTCATATGGGATAGTTGAAGATGTATTAGTGGAAATTGACAATTTTGTTTTGCCAGTTGATTTTCAGATCATGGATGTAACACCCCAATTCTATCCGACAATTATAAATGTAAGTCAGAGTTATAAAACATATGCAACAGAATTAGGATGCCACAAATTCAACTTAAAAACTATTACATTCAACATGGATACATAACACTTTAAAACTTTGGATGAACCAACAGCAAAATAAATTAATCTTTTAATTCAACAACTTGAACAACTACGCAGCGGAATCATAATAACATCTTTATCCAACATTAAAGCAACTTTTGAATAACAAGTACTTAACAACAATCATCTTAAAGTTCAACAATTGAAATAATCAACAACTAAACATCAAATATTCATCCCCCGAGTGTTACGTATTAGAGCAATGACACCGACTTGAACTACTGAAGGTAAACCGCCTTCAATTTGGATTACCTGCACGTTACCCACATCAGGGTAACATTCAAACAGAAGGGGTGATATATCGAACATTATAATAGAATATATGATACATATTATATTAGAATCAGTTCATACAAAATCACCACTTCACAACAACCATCACAACATGATATCAACAAAATACAACAATCAATTCATCAACACAACAACTCAATCATACTACTTAGAATGCGACTTAATACTATGCGAATGCATGTGGTACCATTGCAGCAGAACTCCCATCTTAAAAACGGAGCAGAACTCCCAACTTAATAATTGCCAATTAATAGAGGCATCAACAAGGCATAAGCCTTCTTTGCAGTTTGCCAATCCATGCCATCACAGAGTATGCAAATGTATATGAATGCACTATCACATACTCACAACAATCATCATTCATTGCAAAGGCCTAAGCCCATATCACCATTATTACCAATAAATAAAGGTAATTCATCATCATCTAAAATTCCCTACAACTTTGCATTATCAACAAGATTCCACAAATACAATCACAATAACACAACAACTCAACATAAATCAACATTAATCAACGATTCAATTACTAACATCATCAAACAACAACTTAACAATAATTTCACACATCACTGGTAACAACCAAAACACAGCATGTACGGGCAAAAGGGATAGGGAACTATGTGCCCCTCGACATGCACAATAACTGGGACAACATGGAAACTAAATCACACTCCTCGACACGCACAGGGAAAACAGGGTAACGAACAACTTATGCTCCTCGACATGTCCTGCAACCTAATACTGCTCAACAATGCAGCACATACCCTCCCCGACACGCTTCGCAGCCTAATATGCCGCTTGGTACTTAACACCATCAGCATCCTCCTCAACCACTAGTTTTGGCAAACATCATATACACAACACAACATCTTAACAACCACACCACTATAATTCCTAACATCCATCCAACCGCTCGAAATAACACAGCAACGGGCAACTATATTACTATCAACAGATTCATCAACATACAAGACAATCACATCGAACCTCCCTAAAACGACCACTTCAACAATTATCAACTTTTCCTACCAATCGCTCGGAATAACCTAACATCCTAACAACCAGAAATCAACTATCCTAACCTATCCATTGATTAACCGAGCAGTCACATAGATACTCCATACATCTACAACACACAATCGGGCAACTCCCTGTAACATCTCCATTTACCAGTCATACATATTCTTCCCAACGACCACAACATGAATAAAATGGGCAACTTCGATAGCAATTCAGAAACATCAATGCACATCTTGTTTACAAATGGCCAATTCCCACATAATACGCATCATAAATCCCATTATAAGGTCAGAACCTCACCCTTACCTGGATTGAAGGTCGCTCAACCAAAGCTTCAGCCGTAATCCTTGATTTTCTCTTGCTCGACACCGCGAAGCTTGCTCCTCGTCCGCGCAGCTCTAACGGTCAGCATACAGAATCCTTATTCTCCAACTAAAATAAATCCTTGTGTTAGCTTCTCCTTATATACCAGTTCTTAATGGGCATAACCTACACCCCACTTTACTACTTCCATCCAATAATATAGGTCCAACACATATTTCATATAATCCCTTTAATTCCAACAATATAATTATTATTAATCAAATAATTAATTAATTAATAATAATCCAACAACTTATACCAATAATTCTCAACATCTTTCAACTTCGCAAATAATCCAAAAATAATAATTTATTTAAATAATTAATTAAATTATGGGCGTTACAACTCTCCTCCACTTAGAATATTTTCGTCCTCGAAAATTTACCTCATTCGAACAACTCAGATAAGAGTCCCGCATCTTGCTTTCCAACTCCCAAGTCGTGCTTTCTCCAGCAGCTTCTAACCAGAATACTTTCACCAAAGCAATCTCTGCTTCTTAGAGTCTTCATTTCATGATCTGCGATTCGTACAAGCATCGTCTCAACAGTAAGATTATTCCGTACTTGCACATCATCCATACGAATCATATGAGATAGATCTGAAATATACTTCCGGAGTTGTGACACATGAAACACATCATGAAAATTCGAAATATTAGGCAGTAAAGCCACTATATAAGGAAAATTTCCAACTCTTTCCGAAATCTGATATGGACCAATAAAACGAGAAGTAAGCTTCTTAGACTTCAATGCTCGCCCAACACCAGTTACAAGTGTAACTCTTAAAAACACATGGTCTCCTGATTGGAATTCTAAGTCCTTCCTTCGCTTATCATGATAACACTTCTGTCTACTTTGGGAAGCTTTCATCTTTTCCCGAATCATCTTCACCTTCTCAGTAGTCTCACGAACAAATTCAGGTCCAAGTACTACACTTTCTCCAGATTCATGCCAACATAAAAGAGTTCTACATCTCCGACCATATAACGCTTCAAAAGGTGCCATCCCAATACTAGAATGGTAATTGTTATTATAAGTGAACTCTATCAACGGAAGATAAGTATCCCACAAACCTCCCTACTCAAGAACACATGCTCTCAACAAATCTTCCAACGATTGAATAGTCCTTTCTGTCTAACCATCCATCTGAGGATGATACGCCGAACTCAATCTCAACTTAGAACCCAACGCTTCTTGCAAGCTCTTCAAAAAATCAAAAGTAAACCTCAGATCTCTATCTGAAACAATACACAAAGGAACACCATGCAGCTTCATAATTACATTAGTGTAAATCTCAGCCAACTTCGACACTGGAAAACTGGTGTTAATAGGAATAAAATGGGCCGACTTCGTAAGCCTATCAACAATCACCCAAATCGAATCATGTCCTCTTAAAGTATTAGTTAACCCCGTCACAAAGTCCATCGAAATGCTATCACATTTCCATTCTGGAACTTCTAACGGTTGCATCAACCCTGCAGGCTTCTGATGTTTAACTTTCAACTTCTGACAAGTTAAACATGCATACACAAACCGAGCGACATCACTCTTCATTCCAGGCCACCAAAACAAATTCTTTAAATTCAGATACATCTTTGAATCTCCTGGATGAATACTCAACTTGCTTCTATGACTCTCTTCAAGGATCACTTTCTTCATCTCTGCATCATCAGGAATATAGATCCGATTACGAAATCTCAGCACACCTTGCGCATCTAACTTAAAATCACTATTCTCAGACCGATGGATCCCAACCATTAAATCTACCAGTTTCACATCCAACTTTTGAGCTTCTCTGATATTGTCTAAAAATTCATTATTAATCTTCAACATACCCAACATAACACTCTGTAGTTTCACTTTGCAAACTAAGCTCA